TGGCAATTACTCCTGGGTGTGGACACAAACCGTGCCTTCTGAAAGAATCTTATCACGTGGCTTCTGCCCCTCAGCAGACCGATGCCTGGCCCTCCTCAGCCTATCAGAGCACAGGGGATCGCCAAGCTCCATGGTGTCCCTCAGCTCGGAGGTGCTGGGAGTCCCCGGTGGGCAGGAAGGAAGACTGGTTCTGGAGGAGGGTCAGGCACCTGGGAAAACCAATCTGGTATCACCACTTCTGCCATTCCCAATAGTGACTGCTTGCATGGAGAGCTCTCTGCTGGGACCTCCTGAGGCCTTGGTCCTCCACTGCCTGGGAAGGGGGTTGAGACATCACCAGCTCTGGGCCTTCAGGAGCCCCTCTTCCTCCTGCCCACCCGCCTCTCCTAGCTTCTTACCTGATGTCTGAGTCACACTTAGGCTCCTGTCACTGTGAGCTGTGTTGTGACGCTTGGCTGACAGCTTTACCACAAACACATTAAAAGCCCCCAGCACTTCTGGGTGTGTAATAGCCCAGGAGAAAAAAGCCTCTCCCAGTCTTTCTTCAGCCAAAATCTTCCTCCCAAACCCTCCTCCCCCAGGGACCTGCTCCACCACCTTTGACTGCCCAAGCCTAAGAAGGAGCTAAGATTTGTTTTCTTATCAAGCCTTTCCAAATGATGATTAGAGGAAGGCTGATAAGGGTAGGTGCCTGAGGCCTCTCAGGCCATGCACCTCCAGGAGCAGCGCATCCCTCCACCTGTGAGCCCCGGAAGGTGAAGATGCAGAAAGAGTGCAACTCATCTTCAGCTCTGCCTCAGAGGACTGGGGAGCGAAGGATGAAAAGTGCATAGAGTGGCCTGATACTGAGTGCTTCCATGTGCTGGTGTTGTGTTCATCCTTCTAGTAACCCTTTGAGGCAGGGGCTGAGTTATCCCCACTTTACAGATTAGGAAACTGAGGCTTAGAGAAGTTCAGGTACTTGCTTAAGTCCAAAGACCTAGGAAGTCAGGGAGCTGGGACTTGTATTCAACCCTCTGCCAGCCTGCAAAGTCGCTCTAACAAGACTGCCTGCTTCCCTGTACAGTATCCCTCTTTCTCTCCTCACCCCACCGGAGATGGCAGAAACCTCAGGGATGCAGTGAGAGCTCAACCTGCAAATCCAAAATGGAATAAATTCACCTTAGGGGATGGCCTTGCCAGTCCAGCCCCTTTTTCCTCCCATCTGAGCCCACCCATAGGAGCCCCCACATTGCCATTTTGCCTCGCAGACCAAAGCCACCATCCCTTCTTCCTGTCTGCAGCCAGCTGACAAACAGCAAGTCATGTCCCCCTACCCCACCCCCCAGGCAAAGCAGAGAAAAGAGTGAGACACAGGAACAGTTCTTTTATTGTACATTGGAGAAATAGCCCTGTGTGCTGGTTCAAGGTGCAACATACAGAATATTGAATTAAGAAAAGAGGGAACAGGGAAGGGAAGGGAAACCTCTTGAGGTCCAAAGTTGCAAACAAAAAATGGTAAAAGATTTCCTCACGCAAGAGGCATTTTTGCAAATACCATGCAAAACAGGCAGCTGGTGTGCCTTAAGAGAATCCCTATAAATAACAGAAAAGACACTCCAAGCATTCCTGTACGTGGACTCAGAGCACAGAGAAAAGAAACTAAAATGCCTTTTGGCATTTCAAGATATTTGGCACTCTTGTGATTACATTTTTTTACAGTCCATTAAAGAGAATAAACTGACAAATATTAGAGAAATAAACAGGCTGCTCACACAACAGACTGCAAGGGGAGGTTAGAAAAAGCTCAAGCATTTTTTTCTTTGTTTTTCGTGTGTGTGTGTGTGTGTGTGTGTGAGTGTGTGTTTTCTGACATTAAAAAATGTGTCCATTTGCATTAACCTGGGCAAACAGCTTGCAGCAACAAAGAAACACAAGCTTTACAACTCATTTTAAAATAAAACAAGAATCTTTTCTATGTATCATTCCTTAGAAAAGTTCTCCTCTTGTTTTAAACACATTCCTGATAACTTCTAAAGATGACCAAAATAAAATAGAATATCTACAGAGATCATTTTCTGAATGTTTTATACATCCAAGGATAACAACATAAAAAGAATAAAACTGGACAGCATTTCACATCCAAGTGCACAGAACCATTTTGCAAGATTAAATAATGTAAACATTGGGAACAGCCAAATCAGCGAAGAATGCCAACACCTCAAAACACCTGGTGTTGCCGCTTCATTAAGTGGTTCAAAATCCAGATCTATAATTGCGCAATAATCACCGTATAGAAAAAGAAATGGATATTAATTTTGACAAATAGCTGCAACTGAGACTTCTTTTTTATTTCTTTATATGTGTGTATATAGTGATTTTTTATTTTTAAAATTTTATTTATTTATTTATTTTTATTTTTGCAGAGGATCCCAGAGCCTTCTCCTCCTCCTCCTCCTTCTCACGCCTCATCTGTCTGCCGGCCTGACACCAGATACAGGTTGTTGATTTCATCGTGGGTAGCAAGCTAGTAATACATTTCAAAGTGCTTTCTCTTTTCATGCGTTTTGCCAATAACTGTTACCGCCGTTCTTATTCTCTCCCTTAACTCATTGTCTTTGGGGGAGTTAGACACCAGGGGGTGCCTTGTCGGTCATATTTTTCAGCACGTCATCAATCCTATCATCTTCAATAACAACTGCAAAAAAGGGGGGAAAAAGAGGTGAGCGCGCTTGGGCCTAGCCAGAGATCTCTGACATTTCCCGTTAAGCCCAGAGTTGGAGGTTGGGAGAGGAGAGGGAGAGAGAGCATGGCTCACTGCGCGGTGAAACAGCTCCAATCTCCTCCGCCGGGGGGGTGGGGGGGGGGCAGCGGGGAGCGCTGGGGAGGGTCCCTACCCTGCTTTCCTCGGAACCACCCCACCATTCCCTATCCTTCAGCCAGCGTCCCAGCTCCATTCTGAGAAAAGGAAACAGAGAGGGCGCCAACCCAGCCGCTCCTGCTGCAGCCAGGGCGCGCACTGGCCGCGTCCTTCCCGCACCGGGTGCACTAATTTAGACAGAAAGGTCTGGAGCTGTGGCAGGGGACTGAGTCAAAGTCTTCGGGTCTCGGGACCCTCGGGGAGTCCCGAGCGCAGCTCCGGTGGGCCAGGCTGGGTGCAGAGGTGCGTGGCGCCAGAAGGGGACGCCAAAGCCGGTTCCCACGACGCGCAGCGGGTGGGGGTTAGGGCCTGGCCTGGGTAGGCGCCCCCTCTTGCGCGCCCTCTCCCCGCCGCGGACCAACTGACTCCGCGGCTCCGCGTTACCCGCTGCGGCAAAGGTCAGAGCCTTCCTTCTCTGCCTGCCACAGACACTCGCTGTAACCTCCGCCTCTCTCACCGTCTCGACCTAGCCTCGCCTTTCTCCGTCCCTTCAAAAGTCTCTCGGAGCTACGGCCGCCGATCGAGGTCTCTGGGTCTCCCTGTATAAGGTGCCGGTCGCCCTTATTGTTCTGGCGGCTTCCGCGTCCTCCCACACCCGCGTCCTCGGCTCTGTCTCTCCAGCTCCAGCTCCCCTCTCGGGAGCTTTGTCTCAGCCACCCTCGGTCTCCCGCGTACCCCCTCCCCTCCATCCCTGCGTCTCAGTCTCTTTCGACAGCCCTCGGTCCCTCTCATTGTCCCCAAGCCTCCGGAGCTCCTCTCGGAGCCTCTCTGCCTCTCTGGGGCTTTTCCAGCTCTCGCGCCGATCTCCCAGGCCTGGCAAACCCGCTCTCAGGCCAAGTAACAATGAAAAGCCCGTGCAACCCGAATGCCCTCGCCTTCTCTGCAGGAATTGGGATCCTCCTCACGCAGGTCCCCACGCCGTCCCCTGGGGGACCCTGGGACCCCCTCCCCCCAGGGTTGTGGAGCGAGCGCAGCTGCAACTACACTGCGCAAAAGGCGGGGGTGGGGGCGCAAATCAAAAAGCAAACTTTGCCGCGGGTGGGGACCCCCAGCTGCAGCTAGAAGCCGCCACGCCCCCGGGGTGACCCGGCCGGGGATCGGGCTTAGGGGGACGCATGCCTGAGACCCGCTTCAGCTGGACCCGCAGTGCGGGCTCCCCTAATTCTGCAGGAGGGGATTCCGTCGGGTCTGAACGGGCTCAGGCGGGTGGGAGACCTCCGCAACCCTGGCGCTGGCCGCGGCGCGGGAGAAGGGGGGTGTCAGGGAAGGGGGCTGCGAACTCACCCCGCTTGCTCCGGCCGATCTGGCCCAGCTTGGGCGGCCGCTTGTTCTGCCCGGCGCCGAAGAAGTTGTTGGTGTCCTGCAGGCGGCAGGAGAAGATCTGGCCCACGTCGCCGCCGTCGCCGTAGGGGCTCAGCTTCTCGTCGCCGTAGGGCAGCACCTCCGACATGGTCGCGTCCGGGGGCTCCGCCGCGGCGCCTCCTCCGCCCGCGTCCCCGCCCGCGGCGGACAGGGTCAGCGGCGCTGGGGCCGGGGGCGGCCGGCCGGGGACGGCCCGCGGGCTGCTGCGGCGGTGGCGCCGGCGAGAAGCCGGGGGACGCCGCTAGGGCAAGAGCGCGACACCCGCGCGAGCGGCCCGGAGAGCGCCCGCGGCTGCGCTGCGCTGCGCTCCGGCTCCGCGCGCGAGTGGCTGCTGCTCCGCCAGAGGCGAGCAGGACTCACATCCTCGGCGCGCTGGGGCTCTGGGCGGGGCCGCAAGCCGGGAGGGAGGAGGAGTCCCTGCGAGCCCGGAGGGCGCGGGACTTAGGAGGGCGCACCCCGGGAGCCGGGCGGGCCGGTCCTGCCGCGAGTGCGGGCGGCGGCGCCCGTTCGGGGAGGCAGACTGGGAGCTGCAAGCGGCGGGGCTGCGAGGGGTGGAGGGGGAGGGGAGGGAGGGAGGTGGGAGGGCACCGGGGGAGGAAACCCGGAGGGAGGGAGGGGGAGAGAAACCAAGAGGGAGACGGGGAGAAAAACAGGGACTGAAAGACAGGGAAGCAGGGGAGACGGTGGAAGGAGGCAGAGGAGAGGGGGAGAGGAAGGAGAGGAGGAGAAAGAAGAAAAGGTGGGGGGACGATGTAGAACGGGGAGACAATGGAGAAATAGGAGGAGGGAAAGGATCAGGAGGGAGAGGAAGAGGGTCGGAGAGGGAAGGAAGGGAGAAAGACAGAGGGGGGGAGAGGGAGGCAGGGACAGAGGAGGCAGCGAGCTGCGAGGAGAAATGCCGGCCGCTGCGCGGAGGCGAGGCGCGGGGAGGAGGGCGGGAGGAGGCGGGGAGGAGGGGACCCGCGGGCCCCGGGGAGAGATCCCTGCGAGCGGAGCGACGTCACGGGGCCGCGCCGGCTGGCCCGGGCTGCCGCTAGCTTCCTGCCCCCGCCTCCAGCCCCAGCCGTCCCGCCCGCGGGTGTTTACGGGGCCAGGAGCTGGTACGCGCCCGCCCCGCCGCGGGCTCTGTCTCCCGAGGGGACCTCGGGACAGTGGGGGTTCGGGGAGCCAGAGGGGGAGCGGACCCACGACGCACACGCGGGGAAGGGCAAACGCATGCTGACCTCCCTGGGGGACAGATGCTGCGGGGCCAAGATCGGAGGGTTCCAGGGCCACCCGCCGACACAGCCCCCATCTCCGCCAGCTCCAAACCGGGGAGCCCTTCTCCCCACCACACTTGCTGCCCAATTCAGACCCTGAGGGCCCAGCCGCTGGGGCCTCACACTCTCCTCCCGCCCCCGCTCAGTCCGACCTGGAAGGCCTCGCTCCCCCCGCCCCCACCCAAGGCGCTGGACTCCCGCTCCTCCGGGGCCTCCGGGAGGGGGAAGGGGAGGGGGAGAGGGAAGGGGCAGCCCCGCCTCCTGCAGGAGCTGGGAGCGCCTCCTCTCGCCTGGCTCCCGGCGTCTTGTCTCCGCTGGGAACGTCCCGGGCCTGCCGCCCTCTGCCCTCGGGGGCTTCCCTTCCAGCAACAGCCGCGGGCCCTAGGGAGAGACTACGGCCTCTGAGACGAGGACCGGGCTCCCGGATCTTGGGAGGGAGACTGGGGCAGCCCCAGAGGCCTAGGAGGCGCATCTGCCAAGCAGATGGTAACTCCGAGGGGGCAAGGTGCATGAGGAGCGCTCATTATCCTCACCCGAGCCAACATCACCTGCCTCCGCCAGAGACCTTCTTTGCTCAGCAGAGCCGGCTTGACCACAGGGAGGGGCGACCACCCAAGGTCATGCCAGCTGCTGGAGGCAGGGCTAGGAAATACAGCCAGGTGGCCCAGTCTCGCCCGGTTCATTCCGCGGCCCTGCAGGGGGTCCCCTCAGCAGTGGAAGGAGCTCTCCCATCTGGAACTCTGGCAGATGGGGCTGGAGGCAGAAGGGGGAGGTTTTTTCTGGTATAACATCTGGTGGGGGCGGGGGGAGTCAGTCCAGCCGCCTCTCCAAACTGTGTAAAAGGGTTGGATGGCCTCGGGAAGCCAGATCCCCCACGGGGAGAAGGAAGGGAGCCGAGAAAGGGGAGACTGAAGCCACGTGGCAGGTGGAATAAGTATGCCTCTTGGATTCAGGTCTGGGTTTGAATCCCAGTCAGGTGGCTTGCTGATGGTGACCCTGGGCGGGTCATCTCTCCTCTCTGAGCTTCCATGATCTCTGCTAACTACTGCCTGTGTACCCTGCAGGACAGTTATGAAAACAAAAATAAAATCAGGCTCTGATGCCTGGCTGGGTGTGGATGTGCAAAAGACATTTGAGAGATGACTTAATGAGTGAGAAACAGCAGTAGCACTTCATTCGTTTCCATTTCAGGACCACATGAGCTGGGAGAATCCTTAGAGATGAGCTGGGCCTATCCCTCATTTCCATATGGGGAAACAGAGGGCCAGAGGCTAGCCCCAAATCTCACAGCTTGTCGATGGCAGAAGCCTCAGGTCCCCAGACTGACCTTGTTCCTCTCCACAAGCCACCTGCTCATTCATTAGGGCTTTCCCGAGTGCCTGCTTTGAGGTTAGCACTGAGGCCAAGTGCTAAGAGAGAAAACAAGAGCGTAACAAGCAGGAGATAAAGTTACAAGAAGCTCTGACATTTGCCTCCTGCTTTCTTATTTTCCCCCAAAGCATTTTCACATCCATTATTGACCTTGCTTCTCAAAATAAATACCTTTCGAGGTAGAAAGAGGAGACGTTGTATCCCTGTTTAACTGACGTAGCAGAAAGAGGATAAGTGACTTGCCCAAGGTCACAACCTAGTGATAGGAGAAACCACTGTGGCCAGCCGTGATTCCATAGGGGACTTCCTGCAGTGGTGTCAGCATGCAGGTCTGGAACCACCCCATTCATCTCACGTCCACCTGGCTCTTACCCTGCTGCTGAGAGGCACAAAGCAATTTACACACTGAGCACCTACTGTACAGAAGATAAGCAGAAAGACACAGCAAGGGCTGACGCACACACAGCAAGTGAGAGGAAGAAGAGAAGCCCGTTATCTACCCCATCTGTTTTTATGTTTACCTTGCCTTGTTCCAAATAAGGTTAAAGGTGGCAGCATCCGCGTTCCCAACTCAGTACCCACCCCCTTCATGAAGCACATATGACTCACAGCGGTTGACAGCTTGAAAAGCATCTCCGTAACTATGCGCTCATTAATTGCCAAGCTTCAGAAGTGGACCGGACTGGGGCTGTCATGCCCATTTCACAGACTAGGTGCCTGAAAGTGGGGTGAGGTCTCCAAGGTCACGCAGAAGTTCCGCAAGGGCAGGTGGGAGTCACTGTAGCTTTCCTCCACCCCCATTCCTCTCTCTTGTCTTCATCACAAAGGCCTCACTCAATCCTCCATTCCTTTCAGCATTTGGTGGAGGCATCCCTTCACCTTGAAGTCCTGGGACTCCATTCCTGCCTGTTTACACTCATTCCCAAAAGCCAAAGGGGCTGGCTCTGTACCGGAGGCCCAGGGTTGTGTTGAAGGGGCCAGACCCAGGTGAAGGAACCTAATAAGACAGGAATGAAGGCTTCCCTCCCCACTTCCCCACAAGAAAGCCTGGCAGTACATGGTCTGGGGCAGTAGTCTAGGATGAAGAGCCCACTGAGGCAGTCAAGTTCAAAGCCCTGGCTGGGCACAGTGGCTCACACCTATAATCCCAGCACTTTGGGAGGCTGAAGTAGGCAGATCTCTTGAATCTAGGAGTTCGAGACCAGCCTGGGCAATATAGCAAGATCATCATCTCTACGAAATATTTAAAAATGAATTGGGCATGGTGAGGCATGCTTGTGGTCTCAGCTACTTGGGAGGGTGATGGGGGAGGAGGACTGTTTGAGCCAGGAAGATGGAGGCTGTAATGAGCCGTGATTGCACTACTGCACTCCAGCCTAGGCAACAGAGAGAGACGCCATCTAAAAAAAAAAACGTTAAAAACCCTGCTCTGTCATTTCCTAGGTCTGTGATCCTTTCACCTCTCTGTGCCTAAGTTTTTTCATCTGTCAAATGGGCATAAGAATCATTACCACTTGGTGGCTTATTGTGGGGAAGGAGATCATACATACACATGTCTCACAGAGTCAGTCCTCAATAAAGGTGGTTGTTATTATTTTCTGTGGGCTCTCTGTGGCTTAGAATAAGCTGCCTCTGACTCTACATCATCCAATGGGAAACCTGGAGAAGATCACATCTTTTCAGTGGTAAAACCACTTCTCCCAAATCTAAAGTAGATAAAACCTGCTTGAAGCAAAGGAGGGTCCCAGGGCCTTACTCCAATTTCTCCCCAAAACTTCGCCTGAAACTCCTTCACCAAACCCCAGGACTCTAGAAGTAAGAACCACAGAACCAGACCATCCCCATGGGCCCTTTCAGCACAGACATTCCGGGATCAAAAATAGGTATTTGAAAGTCCAGACTGTGCACCAAGCCCCACACTCAAGCTGGTGGGATAAGAAAGGGGAAGGTCAGCCCCAGCAGGGCCCAGCACAGAAGGGAGGCTCAGCACACATCCGTTTCCCCTTGGTCTCGTCTCCTCCTGCCAAAGATGGGGAAACTGAGGCATGGAGAGCAGCATCAGCCAGTGACTGGCAAGACGTAGAGAAGAATGTGGCTGTGGGACAGCCCAGCCCAAGCCTCTGCACCTGCCTTCTGGTGTCCATTTCTTCACCTGGGCATTGGATGGCAGGCCTAGCCCAGCTCCCATAGAGATGGGGTGCTGGGAATGCTGAGGTTTGCCAGAGCCAGCTCAGACTCTAGATGGTCAACAGGAAAGGCAAGGAAGCAATGCCATGTCAATAGCCAGCTGGTCACCTCCAGAGGGGCTAAGTGGCCACCCAGCAGGGAATCACCACTCTGCGCAAGAGGTGTATAAAACCCAAGGCCCCACCACCCTCTCAGCTCAGTGACTGGTATCTGGATGCAGCCACTTCCCTTCCCTACTCTATTTGAAAGGCAGGGCCTCTGCCCCCAACCCTGCCTCGTGACCACACACACACACACACAGTGAGAGAAGAGCATACTGACTGACTGGAGGTGGCTTAGATCCAGAATCAAGGAATGTTAAGAGAAGAATTCATTCATTCAGCAAACACTTGTTGAGAACTTTTGTGGCAGACACAAGCCTGCTCCCAGTACAACTCAAAGAGTGTTAACTTATTTGTCTGTCTAATCACTAAGACCTCCTTCCAAATAAAATCTTACGAGAAAATTCAATAGATGAAACTTAGATAAAGGGTAAGCTGATGGGTCACAGAGGTCAGAACCCCACCTTCGGGACCATCCATCCCCTAGCTGGTCCCCAACAGTCTCCAAGGGACACCCAAAACTCTGCCAGACTTGGTGCAAAAGCCACTCCTAGAGCTCATCTAACTCCTCACATGACAGCTGGAGAAACTGAGGCCCCGCCAGGGATGAGTAAAACACAGGTTTCCTTACGCCCAGTTTCACATTCCTGCCACCAGGACATGACATGTGTCATGCTTGGAGTCACAAAAGGGAGGGAAGTTCCAGCAATGAGCGATCAGTCACAAAATAAAGGGTCATTTTTTCTGACAATGAAGTTTGGTGTATTTCTTTAAAATAAAATAAAAAGATCATAGGGTCATTTAAAAAAGTTTTTATCACACCAACAACCTGCAGAATGATAGTCCCATGGGCTCTTCAAGAAAACGTAAAAAACCAAGAGGAGAGCTGGGAAGGGTTTAGGAGCCCAGCCTCACCAGGGCGTGAGAGGGGTAAGGCCACCAGACACCCAGGTGCCCAACCCTGCCCCCTGCCTGTGTGCCCCACCCCCCATTCCCATCATTCCACATCAGCAGTGTGTGAGGACCACGGGAGTTGGGCCGGGCAGGGAACTCTGGGCTTGGAGCTCTGAGGGAGAAATTCGGTCTACAACTCCCAGCCCAGACTGAGTGGGTAGGACGTGCTGGGACTCCAGGCACCCTGGAGAACTCTCGCTGCCTGTCAAGCCTGGAGAGTGAGGAAAGAAAAGCAAACAGATCTGACACAATCATACTTCTACAGTCACAGGAGTGTCCTCAAGACCCTGGGGGCAGGGACGACTTTAGCCCCGATGGACAGAGCCCCAATAAAAACCCAAGGTTGGGTTTTTATACACCTCCTGAAACTGAGGCTCAGGAGATTTGGAAACATGGCCTGGCTGCAAAGCCCAGGCTCTGAAAACATCACATGGCCTATCAGGCTTCTCCTGTCCAGGCGTCCCAAGAGGCTAGAGGTCCCCGTAACTAAGCGGCCCCCGACTTCAGCAGAGCAATGAACTGAGCCAAACTGTGGCCACTAAAGGTGGCTGAGGAGCTGACCCCACCCCAGCTCAGAAGGGGCAGCCACTGCCCTCTGATTCCAGTTCAACACCCTGCCCCCATCATTACTGAGAGCTTGCTATAGCCCAGGGTCATACCAATCCCTGTACCCATGCCTTTACCCCAATAGCCACAAAAGGTGGCTGTGACTGTCACCTCTATACCACAAAGGATGACTCCAAGGCCAGAAAAGCTCATAGATGAGCCCAAAACCACACAGCCAGTGGGAGGCAGCAGGTTGGACGCCAGAGGCCAGGCTCACCCACTGTTGGGTGGCACTGCCTCCCTGAGCAGGCCCGGGGCCAGGACAGCAGGCAAACCTCTTCTAGTCCCTACATCTCAGCCTAGCCCCAGAAACAGAGTGGGCATAGATCACAGTCCAAACCTCTCACAGCCGAGGACCTTTTCGGAAATCGGATGGAAGAGACAATTCTCTTTCCCAGAGGCAGAACATTGGGGTAAACAACTTCCAGGGGATCGCTGAACCCCAAAGACCCTTCACATAAAAAAGTCAGGGCTGGATCCTCAAGTGGCATTATAGGATCCCCCACCAGCGTTCCGTGACGACAGAAGAGCTTTTTACTCC